AAAGGGGGGGTTTCATTTAAAAAACCAGAGTTGGTAACTACCACACGTTTATGATGCACCCTGTATATTGGAAAGTAATTTTAGAATGTGGACCTGTTAAACGTGAAAAACTTTCGTTGGACGAATTTTCTTGTAAACTTCATATTTACTGAGATATCGCACTTTGACGCACTAATGAGCAACCCTGTATAATAATAATACTAATATTCACATAAAACAAGTGCTTTCAAAAGTTTTCATTTTGTTAAATATACATATTAGACTAAATTTGTAATTTTATTGGGATAACAAAATATTTTTGATCTATTTTGCATGGAGAAAACTGTAAATGTTAATTGATAATGTAATGCAGAAGTTAAGCCCTGGTGAGATGGGTGGGAAGGTTTTTAGTAAGAATTGGTTTAACATTTCTAACTAAGCATCAGAGTTAAGTTTATGTTTGGAGAATATTCCCAATAGCGTTTGTAGTGATATCTGAACATAAACTGGTGGTTCATTTTATAATAAAACAATTAATATGAATTATTTGCTCACAGGTTAAGGCACGTACTCGCAGGATAACAACAGAGTTAACCTAAATTGTATTCTAAGCTTGGTTTATAAACTCTAGCTGGTTCATAAGCTCTAAACTTCTCATGAAACCAAAAGTTTGTCAAAACTCGATAAACGTTCTTCTGAGTAGAAAAGTCAGCACTTGGAAATATCTCACGTATGTTAAGGAAGTAGTATAGGTAATCCACGAACTTAATTAATTCGTCCTATTTAACATAAGCACCTACTTATATATTAGCATATTTGTAATGTTTCCCTAACTATATCAGTCTTACTTTCGGTAGTTTTCTCTGGTTTAGTAAAATGAAAACTTGGTATAAATTGTTTCAATAATCCACGAATAAACTTATTAAAATTAAACAAGTATACAAGTTTTGGCCCTCTCAGCGATTCCTACTTGCTATACGCTATGTTTAAAAGAATGACGAAATATTTGCAATTCTGGGAAAATATATTTGCCTACTGTCGTTGCATGATGCCGACTATAAAAAAATGCAACTTAGCGCCAACAATACCGCTTAGAAAATCCCATGATTCTTATTTTTTAACTTGATTCTGTCCTGATGCTATGGGCTAAGATGATGAACCAAAATACAGCTTTTATTTCTCAGGCATTTTAGTCTTTCTGCTTCTGTCAACAAATCTATCATTAGGCACTTACTAGTATTACATTCTTCCTGACTAGAATATTCTCAAAATCACAGTACTTTCCGGCTTGTTAGATTCTCTCGACCTCTGTCGGAGCAACAGTGAAACTGCAATCGGAAAATTTTCCTGCGAATAGCGATCCGACGAAGGCTATTTGTGTTTTTCATCGGGTCCGCGCCACTTCCCAACTTTGCGGTCGATTGTAGTAAACTGTTTTCCGCGTTTTGCACAGATGGAGTTTTTAAGATGATTTGAATCAATCATTGAATTCATTCAAACTTTAACGTTTTCAATTAATGAATAGAATTTTTTATTTCCAGTCCATGTCAACACGGTTCACTCCAATATAAAACAAAGACACGTTAAATGTACATATATACAGTGTTTCGAGAGGAAAAGAAAATATTTTGGAAATGCATTCAGTAGGTCAAAATAAGGTAAATGAGTCCATATGGTTTAATACGATTCCTAATCGTGTCTGAAATTAAGATGTTTTTAGTTTTTAACATCAGTTTGTGGGCAGAAAACTGGATTTTTTTCAGCGTACCTACGGATTAATTCTGATCGAAGGGAGGGTTCAAATGCGGAAAATGAAGAGAATGTTCTGGATATGGCTGAAGTGAATTCAGGTTCTGGAGTCTGTATTGAAGTTGGTGGGGGTATTTTCGAAAATATTCTAAGCTAGCTTAATTTTGTTGTTTATACCATAGTTATTGGTTTGTATTGCTTTTAAATAGAAAGATCGTCACAAAAACTATCGAATCGATTATTTCAGAAGCGGTTAAAAGTTGGATTAAAACATATGAGTTGCTTTATCTTATTTTGACTTCCCAATCGCATTCCCATTCGCATTCATGTTATCCTTTCCACCCTAAACACCCTGCCATTTATTTATCGATACTCTTGGGATATACATACGTCTGCAAGTTTTGCAAGCTACCTCAATGATTAATATTTGATTTTTCATTGAGTTCTAACTTTGAATATCATTGTCAAGAAGCAAGTTCCTTATTTCGGTGTCCTAGTCATAATCTTCAGACGTTTTTCAAGTCTCAGAAATTTTGTATTCACCGTTACATTACGGGAATGCCGATAAATTATGGAACAAATTAGTTATAGCTGGTTTGTTTGTTTCGAACTTTTGCCTGAGGTTGAAGCTTTGAATTCTAGAATATTCTTGGTATTTTCTATTAAATTCTGAGATACTCTTTCTAGCGGCAAGATCTCAAATCTCTTAACTTTCATTGTCGCAATAGAAGAATCGAAAATTTAGAAAACGTAACTGGTTAATAAAATACGCATGTAATGAAGAATGGTTCTGCTAGAAGTAGTAAAATATTGCCAAATAATGTTGAGAGACGAAAACAGAAACAGAATGAGCTGAGCTTCGAAGATTTATCAGGGCTATTCATGCATTAAGCTAGTTTAAACATAATAATTTATTGAGGCACATTTAGGTACTTAAATCGTCAAAATATGAAGTGCGCATAATTTATCTATATGTTTTACAAATAATTTAAGAAAAGTTTTTGATAAAATAGACATACGCTGCTGACTCACTTGACTTTTACTGAATCTAGGGTGGAGCTAATTGATACGCGTTACTTCTTCCATTTACAATAAAATCATGTGTATTTGTAGTTGCACAAAACAAGCCACACCTACACGCCCATAATCTTGAAGTAATTCTAGCAATATATGTTCAACCAGCTGAGCATATACAGAATGATTCGAAATTGGCGTCATTCCTTTTAAGGGGTGATAGAGACTCACTTGGGGAGTACGGAAAAATATTGAAATTTTTTATTTCAAAAATTTCTAGAAGATATTAACAGTTGAAGATCAAATTTCAACTTTGTTATTAAGCATTATTTAGAAATTGTTCCATGTGTTATTGGTAGCATAT